TGAAACTAACATGCTCATGCATATTAGAGAGAATATACTCCGCTTTATTTCACAGAGCATAGGCCTATTGGCTTTCTATTTGTCATGACTCAAGATAGGTATTCACAATCATTCCGTTAGTGTTCTCCCCAACTGGCTTCGCACAGCAGCCAGAAGGACTGGCAGTGTTTTGCTTTTTCATAAGCATGAAGCCAATTTCATTTGAAACTTGACTTCTGTCCACCTGTCATCAATGTTTTATACTGCAACCACCAGAGGGCAATCTAGTATTGCTAGGCTGTCAATTAAAAGAAATCCTTTACAATAGATCAGAAATTCCTCTCCTGAAAAATAATTATCTCTCTCTCTCACACACACACACACACACATATATATATACATATATTTAAACGTGCCAGTGAAAAGCATCCAGCAGGACAGGTATCCAACGTGACAACTACCTTCATACTGCACTATTTACATAGACAACTTTAGAAATATAAATTGAAAAAATATCTGTTGCTAGATATATTCTCAACTGTATTCCATGTTATATTTAAATCGAGGTTTTTTTGTGTGTGCGCGCATGTTCTAAATTTGTATGCAATTTAAGATTCTTTTCACCATAACCAATAAAATTATTTGAATCTGAATCTGACTGGAATATCATCAGAGATTAACAACTAGAGCTGGGTAGATTACTTAAAAATTGTATTCCATTACTGATTACAGATTACATGATGAAAACTGTAGTTAGTAACGCAATCTAGGTTACTCATTTTAGGTTATGTAATGACTACTTTTTTATCAAACTTGTTTTAAACGTACCATATTGATATAAAAAAAAAAGCAGAGAAAGAAAATATTTTCCATGTTTTGATGTCAACATCATAAAATGCATTAAACATTAGTGAGTCGATAGAGAGTGAATGGTAAATACAGAGCTGATAAAAACCAAAAAATTCATGAAATCATAAAAATGTAAAATAAAAGCAGTTTAAACACTTGAACACTATTAATATAAATGTTGTATTTGTTTACTTGCATGTTATTGTTGCCATTAACCAACATTGGAGAACTGTAAACATGCAAATATGTTAAATTATTGAAATATTATCTGCTTCTATATTTCAACAAATATTTTAAGAGGTGACGTTTGGGAAGCCTTGCATTAAACACATTTATAAACATGAAAACAACGACACGCCCAAAGTCTTTCAGGTGTGAACATTTTTTGTACAGACATCAACAACCAATAAATTATGAATAATTTACGGCCACTGTATGAATATGTAATCATGTAATCCATTAAAAAAAATGTACTATAATATGATAAGCATTTTAAATTATAATATGAAATCATAAAAATGTAAAATAAAAGCAGTTTAAACACTTGAACACTATTAATATAAATATTGTATTTGTTTACTTGCATGTTATTGTTGCCATTAACCAACATTGGAGAACTGTAAACATGCAAATATGTTAAATTATTGAAATATTATCTGCTTCTATATTTCAACAAATATTTTAAGAGGTGACGTTTGGGAAGCCTTGCATTAAACACATTTATAAACATGAAAACAACGACACGCCCAAAGTCTTTCAGGTGTGAACATTTTTTGTACAGACATCAACAACCAATAAATTATGGCCACTGTATGAATATGTAATCATGTAATCCATAAAAAAAAATGTACTATAATATGATAAGCATTTTAAATTATAATATACTCTTAATTACAAGAACAACATTTTTGGAATTTGATGTAATACAGATGACATGTAATCAGTTACTACCCAGCACTACTAACAATTTTTTTTTCTTTGCCATCATACAGCTTTTGTGGTGGGTTTTTTTTTTTTTTTTTTTTTTTTTTAAAGAGCTTGACACCTGGTTACCGTATACTTGATTAAATAGTCACCAAATAAAAAAAAAACCTCAAAAGAAACATAGGACAAGGAAAAGCAAGAGACAGCGGAAGCATAGTGGAATCATGGTATTTAAGAGTCGTATTTACAAAAGGCAGTACAACACAGATTATGACCACAACTAATCTTATTTACATTTACCTTTTAAAAGTTAATGGGAATGAAACTATAGCACATATTAAAAGCAAAATCCACACGGTTATAATACAAAAATAAAATGGGAAAGAATACGAGTAAACAATGCTGATAGTCTGAAGTGATATTACAATGCAGTGTGCTGTACAAAACTGGAGACGGGGCGTTCACTTTGTTCCACACAGAGTTGTGAGACGATTCTGCATTGGGGGAAAAACAAAAAACTTTATTTTAATTTCTTCCGATTTAGAAGGTGGTATCACTATAAAAACGGTTTGGAAGTTCCATTAAAAATTAACAGCAACCACTGATCTATATTATATAATGTTCTCTATTATAGATCAGTGACAGCAACACATACCTGCAGGTTTCTGATACTGCGTAGGGCCTTCTCATCCAGCTGACTCAGATCCACAGAGTCCATCTCACTGGCCAGCAGCTGAATGCACTGAAATGATAAAGAAAACATGTCATGTACGCATACATACACAATGTGTTTAACTTCATTAGTAGCAGTAGCAAATCACCCACCTCTCCGTTTGCAAGGGGGACACTAATGACAATGTCCTCTCCACAGCCAACAATAGGTGAGCCGTTAACAGACATGCTGTACACCTTCTCCCTGTGACGTGCAAGTCTCAGTGCTGGAGTCTTGGGCAATCTGATGACCAAAAAATAAATAAATAAGGAAAAGAAAGAAAGACATTTACACAAATAGCCCTTAGAAAAATGTCATCAATCAGACTAGTTTTTACACAGCTTGGAAAACATTTTTAAATTATCTGGACCTTAGGGATGCAAAAATTGTGTTTATATTTCATAGATGGGGACTAGGTAATTCCAGGTCTAGTTTGATATAATGAAATGGGATTTTGTAGATTGAAACTTCTTTTTTCTTTTTAGTAAATGTGTCATTTGTGAAAGTCAAATATATTAAAAAGTCATGAATATTCAAGCAAATCACAATCAAAGCCACAATGTCATGTGTAAGTATTTACCTTGGGTCAAAGCGTGGTGTGATAAGCGGAGTGGCGCCAATGATTGAAGACTCAAGTAAACTTCTAGCAGGGGTGATCAGAGGCTTTCTTGTAGACCTATGTACAAAAAGCAAATATGGATTCAGACTCCCAGAACAAATCATTGGGATTCTGTGAGGGAACACTGTTTCGGTGTGTTTAATATTAGCTGATTGTACATTTTCTTTACCTTTGGATGGTGTTGCTCTGTTTGCTGATGGAGAGAGCTCTGGCCTTCTTTGAGGTAGAAGGTGCCTTCTTTGATGCTTTCTTCTACATTAGACATATTAAGGAGAGAAAGGGAGTCAGGCTCCTGTACACACACAAACAGGGGCCAGATTTTCTCAAGGACCCTTCAAAGACTAGTATAACCAACCATTTTCTTAAACATAAATAATTGTAGCTCAAACAGTAGAATATGGCACTAGTAGCAACAAAGGTTATGCATGGAAAATACATGAACTGATACAATGTATACCGCAAATGCAATGCGAGTTGCTTTGGATAAAAGCTTCCACCAAATGCATAAATGTAGAGGTCAAAGTAAACGTGAACTAGACTGCCTTCAACATTTCCAACTTGGCTGTTTTAAAAATGGTAATCCAGATTTTAGATGGAACATAAACATTATATGCATATTTTTTAATGCATTTCTAGAGGCTCAAAGAGTTTTTCTCCTGCTAGCTAGAGACAACACCGCAATCACATGTGCTCATCTTTGTCAATATATTAACTTCAACATGATTTGAATGCCCTACTAAGTAGATTTCAAACATCATACTACCACAAACCTTTTTGACAGCAGACTTGAGGGGTGCCACGTTTTCATCTTCTGAGTTTGCACCATTCTTGGCTTCTGTAAATGAGATGAAAGTTGGAAGGTCAGCTTTGAAAATACAATAAGAAGATTTTACAAGCGGACAGAGGATGCAAAATGTACCTTTGACAGCAAACTTGGGAATCACATGATTCTCAGCAATAGCAAGCTCCACTTGAGCAGCTTCCTCCCTCACCTGATCAGAGAGAGAACACTTTAAATCAAGACCAAATGTGATTGATTTAACAGTACTGATTAGTTTACAACATGTAAAACATATGGACAAACAAACATGTTTAATGCAAGTACCTTTGAATCATCCACTGGTGACTTTGGCTTCTCTATATCTGAAGTTTAAAATAAGAACCGTGAGACAATACCAAAGTATGTGCGATATTTATTCCTTCCTATGCTATTTTACCGCATATTAACAGAGGCTACATGGACTATTGGTCACAAACAGAGCAACTGACAGATGATCACATGTACAACAAAGAGGAAAATCCTTACTGCAGAACTCGATCCAGTTCATTTTCCTCACTGCCATGGGAAGCTTTATCAGAGCGGTCTTGTAAAGGTTGTCTGCATCTTTCAGGAGATTGTTCGACTTCTCCTTCAGTCTTTCAACAATGGTATGAACTACAAACAAAGAGTAAAGTTTTTAGAGCGTGGACACAAATACTTAGTATTGAGACACTAGCGACAAATCTTACCTTCATCGTCGAAATCTAGCAGAAAAGCTTCCAGTTTCGGTGTTTTGGAATTCTTCTTTTGTTTAGCATTCTGTGTGCGTTTTCTCGGTGCCATGAGGAACCTGAAAAACAAAGACGATACAGTTCTTCAACCCCATGGCGATTACGCTAATATATATTAGTACTAGGTACATATCTAGTTAATTTTAAAAAACGCATTTATATTTTTCTTACTCTAATAACCCGGTCTATGTCGAAAATGTGTCTCTCACTGTAGCATACATCGGCAGTTAGGAAGAGCCTGTTCAAATTTAATGCTACTACGTCAGTAAGCCAATCAGCATGCAGCTTTGTAAACATGCGTCGTGCTCTGACCAATAAGATATCGCCTCTCCTAAACGAAGAGTCTGGCCAATGGTTGAGTGTTTTGCTCTCACGGCTAAAGAAAGAAACAAGCGGATTGGTGGATGATGCATGTTCCCGGAAGGAGCGCATCGTACTTTTACGATGGAATCAGGACGATCTTATTCGCTCTCACAGATGTGATTTGTAGTTTATCAGATACATTTAAATATTTGCGGAGTATCTATATATAATAGATATATTTAAGGTATTAGTTAGTTATATGAATCCTCTGTAAAAGAACGTCGTTCACAGTGTTTCTCGAGTCCTGTGACTGAAAAGGATATATATATATATTTTTTAAATGTCCAGTGCTGTTTTATTATCATTGCGCCAACAACTCAAAAAATGCTTTGAGACGCTAAAAGCGGATAAAAGCGTTTGGGACAGTGAACTAGCCGAATGTAAACCTCTCATGAGCTCTCTTGGAAACCTTGCAGTGCAGTTGAAGGCACTGAAAAACGTTCGGATTGCAAACACACCTCTTGCCAATTTCCCTAGTTTACCAGAACGCCTTCATTACAAACTGTCACTGGCTGTGGATTCAGTTCTGGGAAAACTAGCCGAGAAAATGTAAGTCCTGTTTGATTGTCATTTTAATGCACATAAAAACAATGCTTCATTTGGTTTCTTCTTCATATTTCTAGGGATGCTCTTCAGAGGGTGCGGGATGCCATCAGTCAACAGGTGTCTGCTGTTTTCCAGTTCTATGAGAAGAACACAGACAATCTTGACATTGCTGGCTGTGTCTCCAGATCAGACATCTGTCCCTCCATCTCAGATATGTTAGAGTGGCTTCAAGATGCAGATCGCTATTACCGCCTACAGTATCCTTTAAGTCTCATTCCTCATCATGACCACTGTTGGCATCAATGTGATACTTCATCTCTCTCTGTGTTAGGTACATGCATTATTTTGCAATGAATCCTAAATTCATCTGGTCAGATTAGTGCAGAGAAGGAACCTCCTGCAGACGCTGACACCCAGTGACCTTACGTTAATGGAAATGGCACCAAAGAGATGGGAATCTCTACATTCAGCTAGTGGAGAGGAGAGAATTGCAGGTATTTCCCCTTTTCCTAGAGTAGATAAGGTTGCGCCCCATTTTCATCTGGTATTAATGTCTGTCTTGGGTGATCTGATTACAAGTGGTTGGATCTAAAAACACGTGTAAACAGCGGTCCAGAACATTTTGTGATGCTCCCTTCTTATCACAAGTGGCCATAAAAAAAACACATTTATGTTGATACCAGGTGTAAACAGAGAATTTGATATGGTAATAGTTTGGCTGCATCTATTAATCATAGATTTTGTTTGTTGTGTGACATTTTATAAGAATCATAAATTAGAATGTATGTACATGTAATGTATACAATTATATACAACAGTAAAATTAGAGAATTTGGTCTCTAAATATATATTTTGTGTTCATTCATGTTTTTGTGTTTTAGATGCATTGTGTCAAGTTTCATTCTTCATGGAGACTGAATGAATGACATTTTATCAAGTAATTTCCACATTCTGTGTTGGCTGTTGTTCTCAGTTTGGCAATGAAGGATCCTTAAAAAAGGACAGCGGTATATTAATGGTGGAACTCAAGACTCCTGGATTAATTTTGTTTTCCTGTGGGCATTAACTTGTCAAAGACTGAATATCAGCATCATCGTAAGAGCGGTGTTCTGTTTTAATAAATGTGGTCATTTAATTTATGCTTTTTTATATTGATAAAACAACTGCACTGTTGTCATTGAATGTCACATCACACTTCGTTTTTATTTTTTCCTCAAGTGGTTCAAGCTCACATAATTTTAATAAATAAATATAAGGAAAACACAATGAACACAGCAATCCAACATACTAAAAGTGGGTGTACTGTTTCTAAGGACAGCAGTGGTGTGCTGTCAGTTGTCTACAAAACACAAGATAGATTACCATTTACAAAAAAAGAAATGAAAAAGACACTGCAAAATGGGCCTAAGAGTTCAGTTAGCCCACAGTTAATACTATTGGACTAAAAAAAACAAAAATCTGGTCAAAATACGATCAAAACTAATCTAAATGCCTTTTTATGAGAAAATACACCAATAAGTAGAGAGAGTGATAAGCAGCAAGGGAAAGGAAATGTTTCTGAAAATCGTAGACCCACTGCAATTCTACTACAAATATTACTAATACACTATGCTTCAAATTCTAGATACTAGACTGTCTTTAATTAAAGGTGCACTCAGTAATTTTTTCCACATTAAAATCCTTACCCCTGAAGAAATGAATAATACTTATGACAAGCTGAGATCACATGGCCAGCTGTGTTTTACAATTCAGTTAAAGCTGAAGTGTGTCACAGTGTTGGTGATGAAACTATCTGTTTTTCAGTGTTAGTGCCAATCATTATTTTTTTCTCAATTCCGTTTTTGCTAGTGGTGCAGAAATTACATACTTTAAAGGTCAAATGTGTAATTTCTGCTGCATCAGTGTTACCAAACAGAAATGGACAAAAAAAATACTCGTGTTTACCACTGACAAACTAATAGTTCCACTCCAAACTCACAGCACTGGTTGTGCCAATATTCCACTGAAAAAAATAGCAGATTGCAATTCCATTTTGGTGCCACTAGTGGCGCTTTACATACATAAAACATATCTAAACAAAAGCAAACCAAACAATATAACATTAAATACAATGTATATTACAGACAATATAACGAAGGAGCTGGAGTGAACAGCACCAACATGTGTACGATGTATAAGCAATGAAAGAAAAAGCAGATAAATGGGATTTCAAATGGCAAATATGGACATGATCATCAGAGTGACAATGACACAAAATGCATCTGTCCATTGAAACGGAAATCACTGAGTGCACCTTTAATCATTATCCCTGTTTAGCCACACCTTCCCGCATTTGCTTTCATTTTTATCTGTATCATACATACTCCTTAAGAGGCAGGGCACTGGTTGTGATTGGCTTCGGTGGATCAGGAGCAGAAGGCCTCGAGTTTGCAAAACTGCGGCCTATGTATCCACGTCTGTACCCTCCTCTCTCGATGTGCGGGCAGGTACTGCTCAGCACCGCCCCACTGATCATAAGAATCACTGCTGCCGCCCATCCCAGGTAAATGGCCTGACCCAGCTCCCGCTTGTGCTGGAGGGGAACATTGGGGTTGTAGAAGTCCTGCACCACAGTGTTTGCTGTCCAGGAAACCGGCACTAGGACGCACAGGCCCGTCAGGATGAAGAGCACCCCACCGGACAGCGCTATGCCAGCCTTGGCATGGCGATCGTCCCCGGCACAGGTGGTACACTTCATTCCACAGCAAGAGACGGTGCAGGACAACCAGCCCAAGAATATAGCAATGCACATCAGCGCCCGTGCCGCCTGGATATCAGGCGGTAGAGCTAGCATGGAGTCGTAGGTCTTACACTGCATATGGCCGGTGGTCTGGTAGATGCAGTTCATCCAGATCCCCTGCCAAACAATTTCGGAGGTCAAGATGTTGCTGCCTATGAAGGCCGTGACCTTCCACTGGGGCAGTGCAGTCACTGCTATAGCCATCACCCAGCCCGTCACAGCACAGGTGAAACTGATCAGCTGCATACCTGTGTTCACCATCTCGCCACCCTCTGAGTACCACGCCTCCTCGGGCCACAACCTCGACGACACTTTTCCGCTTGCAGGTGCTCCAACTATAGATAATAGCTTCAGCCCTCCTTGCCCAAAGAGGTCGGCACGTTTGCCAATCCTCAGCAAGAAGTTTCGGTCAGTCCTTCTTTGAAAGTTACTTGCTAGGGTTTTGTCTTTCAAATTTCTTGAAGCAAAGTTTTGTTCAGATGCATTTTAGTCCGTCTTCTGGTCTTGTTAAGTATGTCAGTCCTCGTGTCCACCTTTAAAGTTCCTTGCTGGACCTCTCGGAGTGTCTTTAAATTCTCTGAGCAAAGTTTTGTTCTAGTCTGTTATTTGGTCCCAATCGTCCGCAAGAAGTCTCGGTCAGTCCTCCTTAAAAAGATCCTTGCCAGACCTCTCAGATTTGTCTTTCAAAATTCTTGGAACCAAGTTTTGTTCAGCCACGTTCTAGTCCGTCTTTTGGTTTCTCAGACAGTTGTGTTCACTTTCGCCTGGTCTTTCTTTGAAGAGATGAATAATTGAAGAACTGCTGCAACTTGTCTCAACTCACCCACATGGGATTGATTGAACTTCAATGAGAGTCCCACCATCACAGGCTATGTCCGGAGGGTAGAAGTTGGTCTCGTACCACTGTAATGTGTGGTGGACTTCTTGTCTTCTTGGTAAAGAAAGATCTGCTCTTATCGCAGGGACATGTGTCTCTGTTGCTACCCAGTCCGGTGTTGCCTTACCCAAACAGGTCACACCGATTGAATTTGATACTATGACGTGGATGCAGTGGCTGTCAAAGATGCATTTCTTCCAAGCACCCAATAAACGTCAAACAGAACCTAAACTAGTCTCTGAATGATGGCAAAGGCCCTCGTAAATTATCCAACAGTTTCGTGTGAAGTAAAAAGAAAGGTTCTTCAGATGTGACACCGGTGCGAATAAATGCCAAAAGTAAACACGTTGTCCTCTTTTAAGCTCTTTAGGTTAGATGCTCTTGTCGTATCGAGAGCAGACACAAAAAAGGGTGCTGTGCTTCAGGCCACTTAGGCAAAGACAAAAGCAATGTCCTCTTCCCTGCAACAAAACCTTCACGGGTTGGTTGGTTTCTGTCAGAGTGCTGATCGCTTATTGGGCAGTCCGATAACCCTTACAGGTGTTTCAAGTGTGCTAGTCTCGTCCATCTTTAGAAACACTGTTGAGCAAAGCCACTCTCATCCTGAAAGGAAAACAGCGGATGGCAGGATATAAAGGCAGATGGTGCGAGACAGAGGAGGGAGGGCAAGAGTGGTGTCTGCTAGCGGATCAATTAACACAAAGACAATCTAGGGGCCATCAACAATACGCCTCAAAGCGTTCAGTGCTTTTGAAGGGCCGATACAAAAGAGTGTTTGCCATTCCCCTAACGAGACAAAGAAATTGCTTTAAAAGAGTGGGCTTGTGAGGATGTTTGCTGTTGTGGGCATTTCTGAGGGCGACTGTGATGACCAACACCAAAATCCTCACGCTTTGAAACAGTATGCCAGTCCATTTTTTGTGATGGAGAACATCAATAATGTACGTCCTCTCAAAAACACTCTCAGTGTAACAACATTTTAGGCAGAAGTGTGAATTTACATGGCTGTCAAGTTGTAAAGGGATATTTTACAAAAGTACAAATGATCCGATTACAGTAATATAAGGTTACATTGCGAGGTGATTAAAGATGAATTGAGAGTGTTGTCTTTTTTTTTTTTTGGTCTATATTCTGTAACTTACATTTTATAATAATTATTTGATAAAGGGACTACTACCAAGTTGTTTCCAAAGGCTTTGTTTTTTGTGTCATTTTGCCCGGTTCCTTTGTTTCATTCTGCTCCATAACATGCAAACATTAGCGTCTGAGGTGATGAATTAAATATTACGGCTACAAGATCTCTGGTTTAGGTTTCCTTTCTCTTGTGGCTGCCTCTCCTTGGCAACAGTAGTCATGACAACAGCACAGGACACAGGAAATGAGAGAGTGGGTACAAAAAAAAAAAAAGAGAGAGCAGACTAATGACTGATAGCCCACAATGAAGCTCAAGTAGAATTCATACAAGAATGCAGCTTTTAAAAAGGCAAACTGGATAATAAAGAAATGTGAACACCGTAATATCAACAGCTGATCTTTAAGTATCCATAAATATTCATTTTCAAAAATAAATAAATAAAATAAAGAGAGAAAAGTGGTGGTGGGGGGGATCCTCATTTCAAGCTTAATAAATGACTATTTTCTGTGGAACCAAAAAAATATAAAAAAAATAAAATAAAAAAAGTTGTTTGAAGTGGAACTTCCAAGCTGCACTTTACCATATGATAAAAATCAATAGTGACCAAAGCTGCCAAGCAAGATTTTCTGGGAATTTAAATGTTGGTCTGTTCCATTAATACATAAATATATGAAATGCATTCATAAACATTTAGCATGGAAAACTATATTTGCTGGATAGTGCTGCATCTCAACAGTGAGTGGTTTACCTTTTAGATCCAAGTAGGTGTTGCCATCTAGTGGTTTTAAATTTAATCTATTTTTAGAAAACATTCCATTATATATATATAAAAAAAAAATATATATATATATATATATATATATATATATATAGGATTGAAAATCATTAATATCTGTACAATAAAATTTACAAAAATCAGACCTCTTAAGGTTTCCTTTCCTGAACCTCAATAATGACAAGACAGAGGTGTGTGTTATAGGCATAAAATACCAATTTATTACTTTGCACAATAACACAATTATTCCCTGCAGGCTAAAAAAAAAAAAAAAAAAAAAAGGGGGGGGGGGGGGGGGTTTAGGGAGGAGGGGGGGGGATTTTTTAAAAATGTCACAAAGCAGTACAGCAACTGACGGGGCACTCGGATAGGAGAAGCTACAGGAGTCCTGAGCGTTCCCCAGCAGGTCAAGAAAGTGCCCCTATTGCTATTGGACAAGTCACACAGCTCAGAACACGAGAATAGAACGGCACAAAAAAGCTACACACCAGTAAGAGAAAAAAACTTAAATTACAATACACATTTTTCAAATAACAAAGCCATATATATCAAATAGGAATAAAAAAAAAATCA